TGCGCAAAGACGAAGGTGAAGATTAGTTATCTAGTGTACAGTAAGAGGAATGTTCAGGCGTCGACCAGTGTGACCAACACAGACACACACACACACAGGAACGATAATGTGGCGCGTAGGATGTTCGCCTGCGGACAAAGCGATTTGGCCAGGCAGGTGAAGAACTCCCCTGTCATAATCCATCAATTAACTTCGGAGCCTTGCGGTTTTGCCTGCACCCGAAGCAGTTGGCGACAATGACTGATCCAATATGCGTTAGATCGAAAAAAACTCCAGCTGCCGTTACAGTTAGATGCACTAAACACGACAGCACCCCGCTCACACGCGTCGATAATTGTGAGTTCACACTGTCTGTCCGGGATGAAAGAAACCTCCAAACGACAACGCTAGACTGTTCGGTACCCGGCACTACCACTTACAAACTGTGATAGAAACCTAAGCAAACAATGATACAGAAAGCTGGTAGCTCTTCGGTCTACGAAACTACCATAAGAGATTGACTTAACAAACTGCCTTTAAGTCAGGAAACTCTATGAAGAAGGTGGATAACGTTATGGTTGGATGCAGTGGAGACGTCAGCTGATTGGCTGATGGCAAACTCCAAAACGCTATGATACACCCTCCCCGACACCCTTGTATAGAATTACACCCTGGCTCGCCACGGCTTGAAAAAGAAAACAAGAATTTATAAACGCGCATGTACAGTTTATTTAGAACAGTGCGGTCACCATCATATTCCATCACGAGGCGGTGGTTAGGTGTTTACAGAGGATCTTCGCGCCGGCCAGAGGGGAGGACTTGAGGACGGTCATGCATGGCTGGAGGATCTTCTTCAGCCGGCCACAGATCTCTGCATCGCCCAATTCGAGAAGGCTGGAAAAAAAGGAAGCAGGCACAGGGGTCTTATGTTGACAGTCTAAGAGGAAAAACGGACAGACCGATAGCCCGAAAGAGCAACCTGATAATGCAATAAAGTATCCTCAGCTACCCAAGGAGAACTACTCGTCAACATGAATGGAAGTATTTAATGAAATTTACTAATTAACCCCGAGGTCTGAGAACACTGGTATGAAGAGTGTGGGCAGAAGCTAGTAGAACACTACTATACCGGAATACAAAATGCTACTTGCGCGGGTCTGCAATCTGCTTTGCAACCCATTTACCCTTATGCCGCGCAGTCAGCCAAGTTTGTGTTTGTATGGAGTGGCCGACTGGCGGTCAGTCCGAATTGGCTCCTTTTTTAATGTGGCCTTTATTACATTCCCACTACGTGGGATCCGAGCTAGGTGCACTAGCATGTCCGGCTAGGGTCTTACCAGCTACCTGCGCCCTCTCCCGTCAAAGGTCTTCAGGTGCCAGTCAACATAAGCCGAAGTACAAATACATTAACAACAAAGACCGGAATGGCCATTTCTGATTTATTAGTCGTCATCAGCCAGCCATACCCAAGGCGCGAATCCGCGACCTTGTGGTTAGAAGAACAACGCTCTAACCACTGCGCTACGGGCTCGGTGTCCTGCAGGTATTGATCCAAAACAGATACACAATGGTATGACTGGCTGACGAGGGTTGATAAGCCAGAAACGGCCATTCCAGTCTCCTTTTTTTCTTTGTAGGTAATGTATTTCTACGTATAAAATGCTAACTGCTGATAGACTGCTGGCGGGGCTCGAGAGCGAATGCCAGCGGGGCAGAAGGGAACGAGTGAGATTCGCAACCTATCGGTGAGCGCCTTATAAGTGGAAGTATTTAGTGAAATTCGCTAACTTGCTCCGAGGTTTTAGAACCCGATGTCAAGAGAGTCGGCGAAAGCTCGTAGAACATTACTTGAACGCTCTCTCGGGATAGAAAATTCTCGAACACACGGATAATGGCACGAGCCAGTAATAAGACTTGACGCGAACTGTTGGAGGCCTGGGTGT